AATAACCTTAAAACTAAATGTGGGAAAGAAAGTAGAAACAATTAGACATCTCAAAAGATTTCAAAATATTATTTATAAAAGTTGTTTATAGAAAGTAGAATTTGAAGATGAATCGTAGAACTATAACTCCCTCATAGCTAGAACTCTTGCATTGTTATCGGAATAGCAAAAGTAAGAAATTAGACAAATAAAGTTCTTTTGGAATTGTCAGCACATACCTACGAAATTTATTATTATTTTAATTGAAGCAATAGATTTTCAGAACATTTGGCAGCTAATGAACATACTTTTTAAACACATTCGAATTTATCCATTATGAAAAGATTCAAAAACTGATAAGTTTCCAAAAATATTTTGCCGGCAGCCAAAGTAAAAGCTGAATATAATTCTGAAATAGAATTCTCAGTCTGCAGACAATGAAGATACAAGAATTGTTTTGCCAAAACCCTCATCCGCACGCCAACATCAACCAAATAAGGTCCTCTCTCTCCTATCAAAAATTTTGGCGGCAGACGATTTGTGCACCAAGATGTCGGCGACATAAAACTAAGGAAGAAAAGGGTTAAGGAATGGTTAGTTGATTAATGGCGACATAATTAACAAGTTACAAGAGCGAAGCGGTTGGATAATTAATGAGGACTTCGTGTGATTATAAGCGCTTTAATGGTGTAAGTCCATCGCGTGCAAGACTTTCATAATTTATGGAACCTTATAATCCGAGGATTAGATATCGATTCATTCAAGTTTTAATGGAACGTATCAAAGGGGATAATAGTTGTAGGAGATTTTTTTACACGTGGTTGCTGTGAAGATTTAACTTTGTCTTCAGGCAGGTTGTTTGAATGAAAACAAAGTAATAAGGAAAGATAAAAAGTCATTTATTCTTGACGAAAATAGCAACAGTTATTTTAAGATATTGAATTTCAAATAAGTAACGATTACAAAAATAGAATTGTTTAAAGTAAGATAGCAGCATATTGGGAAACAAATTATAGTTTAATGATTTATTAGAATCGGAAAACTTGCCTTTTGATGCCAGATATCAATCGAGAAATCATTTAAACAAGGTAAAAATAGCAACAAATGGTTTTATGAAGCTTTTATTCCGTTATTGCAACAGTTATCAATAAGTAACTGTACTAAAATAACAGATCTTGCCATATTATGTAATATATTTGATATGAGGGTTTCTGCTAATAGAAAACTTGCTGTTTTGATGATTACTATCAGTAAAAAAGTTATTTATGTCAGGAAAAAAAAGTTGTTTTTTGCGGAATCTCTTTTCGGCTATCACGTTGCAGTAAAATAACAGTTGCAAATAAATAACTGAACGTGGCATATTATGTAATGGAATACGGCATGGAATATGTTCAATTAGAAAACTTGCCTTTTGGTGTTTACTATCAGTCAATCAGACAAAAGATTACCCACTTCAGGAAAAAATCCTAAATCTTTTTATGGATACTGTCAGCGGTTTTTACGTTCCAAAAAGGTAGCAGTTACAAATAGACACGGTTTCAAACAGGAGAAAACAGATTATTACATATTGTCTAACATATTATGGTAGGATAATTTAAAAAATAGGAAAACTTTCCTGTTGATGTTTACTAACAGATAGAAAACAATAATTGAAAAGTTGCCCCCTGGCGTTTACTATTGATTAAAAAACAACAATAGGATAAGTTGCCTTTTGGTGTTTGCTATTGGTCAGAAGGTAACACCCGGAACAAGTGTCTATTGCAACTTTTAGTCAATCGTAAAATGAAATTGAAACATTTATGTTTTGAGGCTTGTTTTTTGATCATAAAATAACAGCTATAACTTGTTTTTGTGGACATCAAAATAATCGTTGTTCTCAGTGGATTTGTCGTTGTTCCGATCTTTCCACTTGGAAAAATTTGTTTTTTAATGCTTGTTCTATCAATAAGAAAATAATATTTAGGTTAAATGTTTCATATACGTTCGGAAATAACATTTTTTTAAAAATAATTTTATGCCTTTTCCTTCTGCAACCAGTATTATATGTGTAGATTAAAATTTTGACTCGAAGGCTTAAAAGGCTTTTATGATTACTTATTTAAGGCAGAGAAAAAAAACTAACAAAATGTAACCAATCACCATCAAAGTATAATTTAAACAATTCAACTTATGATTCTTTGTTTCTTTTGTTCTGATTTTGTTATTAATTCATCGCTTGCAGCCTCTACAATGAAAGTCTACTTTTGACAATGACTCTAAAAATATACATTATACGCGGTATTTTGAGAACAGAATAAAGTATAAGAACATTTACTACAGTAAGCAAAAGAAAAAGCGGTGATTTAAGAAAAGATCGCCCGAGAGTAAATTGGTCTGATTACTAGTCCTCAAAAAATGAGTAAAAATCATTCGAAAACAACTCAACTTTTACTGCCGTTATGTCAATGGGCGTGCCTTAAGGGATGTTCAAAAACGCAAAAGAAGCAAATGACGCACTTATGGAAATGATTGAATGTTCTATTCCTGAGAGAAGAAACACAGAAGATTCTATGCAAATGAAGTCACGTGATCTGTCTCCGAATCATTTGGCAACTACCAAACGACAATTTGGAACGAAAAGCTGAAGATTTCTTGCTCCATTTGCTTTTATGGAATGGAATTATTGACTAAAAAAATATTTTAAAAGATTTTTGTTGCTTGTTTTGACTGAAGCGACTGGCTATTGCGAAGGTCGAATTGATGTATTCTAATGGAATGGAGCACAGTCAATTATATTTTTTCGAAAAATGCAAATATTAGTTATTTTTATGCTCTTTTATGTATCAGAAAAGTTAGTAGGTAATTTAGCGAATGTAATGTCAGTTATGATTGAGTACACTAATATTCGAAATCATCAATTCTGAGATATTTCTAAATAAATAAATAGATAAAAAAAAAACAACTAAACGGTTTAATGTACATAAGAATTGAAAATGTAACATTTAGAGTATTAAAACTGACTTTATACACCATAAGAAAGCTAACACCTGAGCGACCGCATAAAGCCATTAACATTTTTCCCCTCTCGTTAATTCAAGGTGATTAAATTTAGTTAGACGAATGTAGTATTTTACGCACGTAAATTTTAATCCAATTAGAATTCATGTGTTACACAGAATGTCTTAAACTTGTCTGACTGCTTCTATTAGCATGACAGCCCTTTGTGGACTTGAGCCTTCCCTATAACATTCCTACATTCTGCTCTTTCACTAAATGTTTTCAAAAATTAAAAAAGGAAAAAGATTAGAAAAGAAAAAAAATCTTGCAGCACATTTATGTGAGAAGGCATGAGTTTTAATCACAGAGATTCTTATTTCAGTTTTAAAAAAATCGGCAGATGGAGCAGCAAGTCTTTTTTTTTTCTTTCCCCGTTGCGTGTGCTAATTTTGTCAAACGATTAGATCAATTGCTGCTATAGTAAACATTTAGAAAATATATAAATTAAATTTCTTTTTCTTGAAAGATTTCGAAAAATTTTAATGTAATTTCCAATTATTTTTCTTTGATTTACAAATTTACTACCTGAAGCGCCATTAGTCGAAAAAGTTTTGAATTACAACAAGAACACTGGAAATGAATATTTATGACTTGTTTGTTTGTTGAAATTGTTTGCAACCTTAAAAATTTTTCAATAAATAATTTCTTGAAAATCATAAATCTAAGTTAGGACAACCTAAAATTGAATCATTTTTTTTTTAATTTTTTTTTTTTTACAAATTTATAAATTTCTAACCTTAATATTTATCACTTGATCATTCTCGAAATACAAATTGCAAAATATCCTTTAATAAAAACTTTAAAAATGCTTGTAATATGCTTTCTTGCACTCTGGGCACAGACATCACCCAGCACATCAAATGTGCATAATTTTAATGATACAACAAACTAATGATCGGAAGATTTAAGAATTATCATTCCTATTTTTAAATGTGTCTTAAATTTTAGGGGCTAATAAGAATTTTCCTTGAACAGACATTTTCAAAATGGAGAACGAAGTTCCTGCGTTGTTTTAACAAAGCATAAAATATAATCGCATTGAATGGAATATGCCACTTCCAAAAAGAATATCCTCGCTTTTTATTTCTTCCAAACCGTTTCCTTTTCTGGCCGTTTGCTAAAGTGACTTTTTAATTGCCCAAGCGACTTGAACATCGTTAACCGTCGTGCTAGCTCTTTGGAAAGTTCGTCCACCTTATCCATTAAAATGATGTTGTCACGTGAGACCTTACGTCATAGAGAAAAGAGTTGAGTTGAGTACCATTTGTCACCCGCCGACTTTTATAATCACAACAAGAGATGAGGAAACAAACTTGCCGGAAAATTATGCCTCCTTTTAACTTTACGAACGATGTTCTAAAGATGCATATTAAAACAACTGAACAGGAAGAACATTTTCGTTGAAATGGATAAAGGAAAGAATGATATGAGAAAAAGACCTCATTCTGTTTTATCTTTCCCCGTGACATTATGTTTAGAAGCTGTGAAGAAAATTAATATAAAATGAGAATTAAGATAGAATTCATAAGCGAAGGTGACCCTCAGATATTCTCAATAAAAACCAAAAATATGAAGCAATAGAAATGGATAACGACCATAAAACTAAACGAGGCTTAACACGAATACTAACTTTAACTTCTATCGCTTTTGTCTAAAGTTTACTTTCGTCATATTCCAACACATTTCCAGATTATTTGAAGAAAAATATTAATATTTTAAGGGTAACTGGAATTGCTAAAAATTGGGGAACTAGAATTTAAATGTTCTAATAGTTTTGCGACCAAAATGGCGAAAATTATTTAAAATTCAGCAGTTATTGACTCTATATTTTTTTGATTTCCATGTGAGTTCGTAAATTATCCAAGTGATACATACAGTTTGTAAAATCTAGTCAGCTATTATAGCTGTATCAAGAATATAAAAGAATCAGACAAGTAAAAATTGCTTTAAATAGAACAATTAAAATAATTAGTTAAGACACTTACTTCCAGAGCAAGAACGAGGCGACAAGAACAGCGACTAGAACAACAGATGAACATACAGCGATGATGGGGAGGGAGGGGAATGCAGTTTGTGTGAATTCCGCCCCAATGGGCTCCATCTGGCAAAACTGGAGGTTGGCCGCCTCCACCCCGCCCCGGCACAGAGCCGAGGTGGGGGGTGCCGGCGGTGGAGGTATCAGGAAACGAGGAGGTGGTGGGGGAGGGCAATCACAGAAAGGGTCCTCGGACGATGGGGCGAAGGGATCAGCGGGCTCCCAATACGGACTCAGCTCCTCCTCCCCATCAGGTCCGGCTAGCATCGCTGGACGACCTCTAAAATTAAAAAACGATACAAATTTAATAAAATCAACAAATTAGAAAATTATCATTATGTAGTTTTAAAATAACTGAGAAAGAGTAGTATGAAAATAGTAGTTAAATTCCCTTCATTTTTCGGAGAGGTTAAAAGATGAATACAATTAAATCTCATTACTGAGGAACCACAAATGGAAACACTTATGCTTAATATTTTATACGTGTTTCACAACACATTCCATAGACCTTAGACAAATTTATTCCAGAGATGTTTGATCCATAATTGCTGATAAACTTTCAGATTTATCGAACGAGCAGGTAGCTACAAACCTAATTAGTCTTGCGCAGCTGTAGCTGAAATTTTGTAAATAATTTTTTATAAAAAAAAAAAAAAACTCGTTGAATTACTAGGAAAAACGTACAATCAAACGAAACATGGCCGCAAAATGTAAAAAAGTTCTTTCATTTCGAAGCATGTATATGTAAAAAATTAAAAAAAAAAAAAAATCGGTGAGAAATGGTACATTCGATAGTAATTATATCCTTAAATTAGAAGTTGAAGGAAACTTTAACCAATCATAATGTCTTTTTCGACAAAATTTTTAGTTTAAATAAACAAGGAAAATATTATAAAAAATTTAAACGTTTTTTCCTAACAAATAAAATCTATAAAATAAAATACAGTGACAAAAATCAAATCATGGTAAGGTATTGTTTCCAAAAAAAATGTCGTCAATACAGCAACCAATATCCAATCACCTCCTCACAATTCCCACCTATCCAATGATGGAAAATCTTACAACATCCATGCTCTTGTCCGCTCATTTCTACTAATGAGAAGGACTTGCTTGGCTAATTCCGCTAATTAGCTATTTATCCACTGATGACCTAAACTGTTCGCCATCAAACATTCTGGTACCCCTTACCCCCTAAAACCCATTTTGTACTCTAATTAAACTCAGTTCGCTATCTCTCCTGCCCCTTGCTAACCCTTTCCCTTCATAAGATGCATCGGTCCCCGAATGAATTAGTTCCAGAAACTAATGTCCGGACCTCCGGAAAGTCCGGTCAGCCTTGCTGCAAGGCAAGGGCCCATCCACGCTTTTGTGAGTTTTATTTTCCATAATTACCGTCTTCGCGAAGGAAATTCTGGACTTAATTATACGCCTTGACGATTGGCGGAATGAGGGAATTATGGGTAATTATTGTTTGGCTTGTAAAATCGACGGACGGCATTGCCTTAAGAACATGTGATTACAAGAAGTGTGGCCAGATTCGCTCAAAAATAGAAGAAAAATCGGCGTTGCTAATTAATGAAATAATTATTAGAGTATGCGACTTGATCGATGGCATCTGGTATGGCATTATAACAAAGATATTATGAATTCCATGGTATCATTATCTTACGTCAGATGAAATAATGTGATAATATTAATGGGTTTTATGAAGAAGAAGCGGCAGAAGAAAGTCACTAACCGGTAGTCATAAGAAGTAAAAGTTAATAGTACCAGAGAAATGACATTCTACTGCCGAGTTCCTGGTTGTTTTATTTATGAAAACATTCCTCGTTAATTTTCATTAACGTCACAAAGATAAATCGTTTTCATTACAGATGTTTTTCAAAACTCCAAGGAAAATAAAAAGCGCCACAAATTAAGTGTCTTAAAAATCAAAATACAAGCTGTATATTAAAGTATACATATCATCTTGCAATAAAAAATTGAGACGTTCACACCACAGATCGATTAACTCCACTTTTTGAAACAATTTAAATGTCAAAGCTTTTGGATTAGCCGTAGCTTTTAATATTGATAAACACTTAGGGGAGCTTATTTCTTTTTTTTTTCCTTACCTTATAATGTTAATTTTTTCACCGTCTTTTCTGTTTTATATTTTATGAAGTTAATCAACTCCAGCAGCAAATGGCCCTATTATGCGGATTTTGGAGCGAAGAACTAACTTAAATATTTAAGTTATTTGTCCATTCTACAGTCCTGTTAACGGCGAGACTAACAACTAGAACGGCAAAATATTCACACCTAGAAAATTTTTGAAAGCAATTGATATTTTTTAAAATATATCAATCTTAACCGAACAGTTATGAGTAATCTTTTACTAACTCTCAACAGTAAAAAAGTACAGTTTCATGTGACGGCAGAATCTTCGAAAGACAGCCTTTAACTTTTCAATTCATTCTCATCAATTAATTATGAACATTTATTTCATAACCAGCGTTGAACAGTCAACGATGTTCAACTCCGTAGCCTTGTAATTTTGAACCCAGCCAAGATGACAAGGGAACTCCTGGATCAAGAATTAGGGCAAACTATCCTTCATGGAGGACTTTTTGAAGGAGCTAACACGCGTTTGCGTTACACGGAGAGAAAAAACACCAAAACCACCCAAGGTTAGCCCAACGGCAAGAGAATTCTTACCCATAATCAGTCTACCATTGGAGGTATTTTATGTCAGCACTGTGGTCGGTACGTGCCGGGAGCAGAATTTGTATCAACTATCTATCGCTGGGATTCGATTCTGGGTCATCAATTGGAAGGCGAACAATCTATCTTCTGAGCCACAGCGCCTTTCTTTAGAACATTAAAGAAGAATCGTTTTCGTCCCACGATGTTATTTCCCTTAATTATCGGTAAAAATTGAGATAATTTTCCGTAGTATTTTTTGTAGCAATCAAAATAAATTTTCCTAATGTCTACTATCCATAATGGAGATAATTTCTGTACTAATGGAAATAATTTATCGAAATACTTCCGTAGTAATGAAGATAATTTTCAGTATAATTTCTATAATAATAGATAATAATTCTAATAGTTTTTCTTTGTGATAATTAAGTTAATGCGTAGTAGTACTTTCTGTATTAAGATTTGAATTCATATATTAAACATCTAATTGCTATTCTGTAAGTTAATTTCCTGAAGTATAAAATAAGTTCCAATAAAATTAACTACACAAATACAAATGATCAGAATTAATTAAGGAGCAAAAAACATTGCTTTTTTCAGCGTAATTAATTATTCTACAAATAAAAATGAAAACAACAATAAGGCTTCGTTTAAAAAATGAAGAAAAAAAATGCTCCTAAAAATTAGCAGACATAGACAATGAAAAATAGTTTTTCAGGGGGCTTTGATCTAAACAATTATAACAAGAAAGTCGCAAAAGCAACAAAAAGACAAATAATTCACACGTAATATTGCTTTGATCTAAACAATTATGACAAGAATTTCGCAAAAGCAACAAAAAGACAAATAATTCACACGTAACATTGCTTTGATCTAAACAATTATAACAAAACAAGAATGTCGCAAAAGCAACAAAAAGACAAATAATTCACATGAAACATTGCTTTGATCTAAACAATTATAACAAGAATGTCGCAAAAGCAACAAAAAGACAAATAATTCACATGTAACATTGCTTTGATCTAAACAATTATAACAAGAATGTCGCAAAAGCAACAAAAAGACAAATAATTCACACGTAACATTGCTTTAAAAAAATTCATCGGTTAAAAAAGTTCATGTTCGTAACCTTCAGCAATAAAAAAACACTTTCAGATAACGAACGCCTTTTTAAATAAAATCACGAAACACAAATTCATTTGAGACTGAAATTGCGATCCACCCACTAGACTGTATTCGCTTCACAGCTTGGAGTTAACTATTTCAACAAAACATGTTATCTCCCTTTTGTTATCATCTATCTGAGAAATACAAAGTATCAGTATAGATAGGCGAGTTTAGTTGTAAACGATATTTTCTCACACATTATACATCAGACGATTAAAAATGCAAGAAAGAAACGTGCACCAAGTTCATTGACATCAAGTTTACTTTTATTTTTCTTTAACTATAAAGTATACGAGTTTATTTTTTATTATTTCGAAAAAATAATAAAAATAAATGTTATATTAAATAGTTTAATTTTTTATGAAACCATTTCGCGTAATCAACGAAAGAAGGTGCTAAGTTCAACCTCAGCTCTTGTTAAAAAAAAAAAGGTTTGGAAAATACTTATAAAATTATACATAATCCACAAATTAATGTAAAAATTTTTACACTTCAAATTTTTTTGTGTTATTTAAAAAAAAAGACGATAATAACAATCTAACAAATATTTAAAAAAGAATTTTTAAATTATATACTTTTGAATATACTGTCGATACAGTTCACAACACCATATAATTTCGTATCCTTTAATGCGTATTACCACGTAAGTTTGGCGAAGCAGATTTCGACATTTGTGGCATTAAATTTTGCACTCAATTAACGATCTGAAAGTTTATTAACCACTAGACTCAAAATATTATAACAAAATTTATCTTTTTTTTTAGCTATACACGCGGTACCAAAATCAATTGCGTTTCCTCCACTCATGATTATTTCGCCAATTTTTCATCGGATGACAGACGCAGATTGCTTACTACTCGAACTCGAGATCGTAAAAGCTTGTTTTCTCCTAGCAAGATGCTTAGCATTCCGAACCGAAGAAGTAGTAAACTGTATGATTTTAGCTGTTACATCAAATACTAATGTTTTATTACACAATTATTCTTTATTCTTGGATATCACACAACTATCCTTTATTCATTGTGTACTGAAACGCCACACCAAGAAAAATGCTGGTTAGTTCTATCAAAAAGTCCTCCATGAAAGCTAATTTCACCCAATACTTGATCCAGGAGTTCCCTTGTCTTCTAGATTGAGTTCAAAATTACAAGACGACGGAGTTGAACATTTGTAGTTATAAACTCAACATTTTGGGTGGGCTATTCAATGACAGTTATAAAATAAAATAAGAAGGCCACTGAGCTGCGGTTGTTCAAGAGATAGAGAGTTCGTATTCCAATGAGATGAACCGGGTTCGAATCCCAGCGATGGCTGATCGATACGACGAATTCTACACCCGGCTCGCACCGACCTCAGTACTGTCGGAAAATATCCTCAGTGGTAGACTGATCATGGGCTTAAATCTCCTTGCTGCCTGGCTAACCGTTGTTT